TCCCCACAAAGGTATAAACTATGCAAAATTCAGATAAAGATGTGTTAAGTGGTTTGTCTACCAGCGTCAGGAACATGAGACCCTGAAGAAAACTCCAGCGACAGGAGTCTACTTCAGTTTCCATCAAATCCACATGAGAAGCTGGTCATGGTAGCCCAGGCCTGTAATTCAAAGACTTCAGAGGCAGAAGCAGGGGTTTACCACAAGTTTGAGGCCAGCATGGCCTACATAGTGAGAACTTGTCTCAAAAGAAAAAAAAAAACAGAAATAGCCGCTAGAAAGATGGCTTAGCAGTTAAGAGCACTTGCTGCCCTTGCAGAGGCCCTGAGTTTGGTTCCTCTCACTGGAGTCCTCACTGTGTTATCTGTATCTCCTGAGTTTCTCTCTGCATCCCAGGTCACAATGTCACTGAACCAATTACTGCCTTACTTCTGAACCTCACTCATACAGGGATTCACTGGGCTCTATCTTAAAGCTAGTGTACACCCAACATTTCCATTTTTAGAGTCCCTGAAAGTTCTAAAACAGTCTTAGTCAGATTTCTATTACGTCAACAAAATACTTGAGACAATCAGCTTTAAAAAAGGAAAGGTTTAATTTGGTTCATGGTTTCAGAGGTTGTGGCTGACTATCAATAAGCCCACTGCCTTAGGGCTTGTGGTGGTGAGGCAGTACATCATCATACAGGAGCACAAGATAAAGCAGCCTGGGGTCATAGACAGCCAGGAAGAGGCTAGCATCCCAACACCTCCTCCAAAGACACCCCCTCCCAGTGACCTCACTTCCTCTCACAAGGCTTCATCTCTTCAAGGTTCTAGTGACTCCCAGTAAATCCATAGACCAGAGACAAGCAGGGCTTATAGTGACATTCCAGATGCAAAGTGTAGCATAAGTCCACGAGTATTTTGGGTAAAAGACATTTCATCCTATCTTTCACCATCTTCATCTTGCCTTTGATCTGAACCTGTGGGTATGACCTCTCCAATGAGGTTAGAAGGAAGATCTAGCCTGTGCCTACTAGGGGCATTAGGCTCCTGAGCCTGGGGACAAAATACCCTATCTGTGCTGTCTTCCTGGAGCCTCGGGGTCTGGGGATAAGGGCATGGTCACCATTTAGTTTATCGTCCAAACTGGGCCTTTTTTGAAAGGGTAAAAAAGGTAATAACTGCACTGGGATACATAGCTACCCTATGTAAATATCATTTTAAGTCTAGAATTGCATTTATGTTGAAGGCCCTTGATTGTATGATGTTCTAACCCTCCTTTGCTGGTGATTCACACAGAGAGAGCATCCTCTTACAAGGAACTACACTATGATTATGAAAGTGTGACATGTTCAACACCATATTTTTAGAGTATTTTTGAGACACAATTTGTAACTCATTCCAGTTACATTTTCTATAGTATTGGTTAATGGTGTCCAGAGCAAAGCAAAACTTCATAACCCCCCAGAACTTTCCTAAAGAGCAGTCTAAAAAGTTGAAAATGTTTCTTTCCCCAAAATAAACTGGATTAATCCCTTCATTTATTTTAGATTCTCTTCAGATAGCCTCCCAGATGGTTTGCTGAAGTCACCATGCCAACAAATCTATTTGGCTCAAAAAAAAAAAGAATTAAAGAAATTTCTACCAAATTTTGTGTCTTTCTCTTCTAATAAAAATCTGGATTTCTTTAGGGGAGAAGGATCACAAGTTCAAGGCCAGCCTGGTCATAAGGGAGACTTTAAAAAACTGAGGCCAATGAAATGGTTCAGCAGATAAAGGCACTTGCTGACTGACAAGCCTGACAACCTGAGTTCCACCCCTGGGATTCACATGGTAGAAAGAGCAACCATAGTCCAGCAAGTTGTCTTCTGACCTCCACACACATACACCATCATACTCATGTACACACACACACACACACACACACACACACACACACACATAATGATGTTTAATCTGAATTTCTTTTTCCTATTTATTAATCATATACCATCCTGAATTTGGTGAACTGAACTACAGAAACAATTATTTAAAGAATCACTCCTGGACTGGAGAGAAGGCTCAGCAGTTAAGAACATTGACTGCTCTTGCAAAGGACCTGGGTTCAATTCCAAGCACCCACGTGGCAGCTAATAACCATCCGTAACTCCATTTCCACGGGATCCCACACCCTCTTCTGACCTCCACAGGCGTTGCACGATTTTAAGTCTAGAATTGCATTTATGTTGAAGGCCCTTGATTGTATGATGTTCTAACCCTCCTTTGCTGGTGATTCACACAGAGAGAGCATGTGCACTTACATCTTGCTGTCAATACACCCACACATGTAAAATAGAAATAATGAATAAAATATTTTAAAGAATCACTCCTCTGAGCCAGGTGTGGCACACACCTTTAATCCCAGCATCAGGAGGGAGAGGCAGGAGGATCTCTGCGAGATCAAGGCCAGCCTCGTCTACATAGTGAGTTCCAGGCCAGCTGGGACTACAGGGGCACCCTGTCTCAAAAAAACAAAGAAACAAACAAAAAAAAAGAATCATTTATTATCGTTTTCCTCTGCGCGTACATGAGTCTTCTCTCTTTATTCAAGTTGGCTATCCAAAATATCCAAAAGCCATTTATTGTTATATTAATATATCCTAGAGGCATTTGTCCTTCTAATTGCTGACATCCCACTGGATCTCCATAATAGCCACACCTTAACACACAAAGCCCAGTGAAGACTACTTCACCTTCCCCCTCCCAGCAGGATCAGTTAGAGAACTAGAAGCAGGAGGGTCATATAAATGGTGTTCGCTCAGACATTTTTTTTGGTCTTTTTTTTTTCTCTGTGAGTGTTTTGCCTGTATCTATGTAAGTGCACCTGTATTGTGCAGTATTATGTATTATTCTGGCCCACAGAGGCCAGAACAGTTGCCGGATTCCCTGGAACTGGAGTTACAGGCGGTTGTTAGCCACCATGTGGGTGCTGGGAACCAAACCCAGGGCCTCTGCAAGAGCAGCCAGTGCTCTTAACCAGTGAGTCATCTCTCTCCATCCCTCTGTCAGTTGTTTTGATTTGGAGTTAGAGGAAACAAAGAAAATCCAGCCATGGATTCCCAAAATGGCCATTTCTCATTGAGTCATGAAACTACATTTTTGTTTGAGAAACAGAAGGCACCCCCCACACCCCCACACCCCCCGCCCAAGAGGAAGCCCAGTGTCCAGGCAACCCACTCTTGGCAATTTCTGGGGTCCGTGGCATGCAGCAGCCAGCCGCTTCAGGGAGCTCTGCAGACTTGCTCCTTGGGAGCAGCATGGGGAGAAACGCAGGAAAGTGACTAGCCCCAATCCTCTCTGCGGCTCGGTCGTCCTGTCCTGATTTTACATTTTCGAAAGCATCTGGTCCAAATACTCCCAATGGGGTCGTTGCCCACATACAGCCCTGCGGGTTACTCCAGGGAACTGTCAGATTAGCCGCTCAGGGCGGGCGTGAAGGGGAAGGTTGGAAGGAATTTGTACAACATCGGGCACAGAAATCCCCAGGGAAATCGCTCCCCTAATGACTTCCTTGCATGCAAAGGTCGCCCTCTGGCGGCCTCTGTGTGTCTGTACATGGGGAAAGAGTGAAAGGCAGCTTAATGCAATCAGTAAAGTTAGTGCAACCAACATGTCAAGAAAAAGGAATGTGTCCATAGCTGGTGAGTTTTCGCGTATCCCTCCTTTCTAAAGAGCAATATCATTTCAAATGATTGCAATGAAATTCAGGGCTCGTGAATAAATGCTCCCAGCTGTCAGAGAGTTCTTACCCTTTGTCAAGATCTCTTCCAAACTACTTGCCCAAGGTAACCCTGAGCCAAATCTCCCACCAAGTCAAAGATTCTGGAAACTGGAGCAAACAATGTCTAGTGCCATAGGTGCCAGGATCTCCATCCTCCCTCCTCATCCTTTCCCTGAACCGCTGTGTGACCGGCCAGCACCATCAGACTTTGTTCACAGGCCCTTTCTAGGGCCAGGTTCCCACTCTGTCCTGGGACTTGGATTCCTATCCTCTGCCCTCTCCCATCTTCAGGCTTCCGGGATGGGCTGCTACACAGGCAGCCACAGGCGGGAAAGTCAATCTTTCTCTTGCCTGTCTTTCCCTTCAGCCCTGTGGGAGGAGCCCTGCCCTTTCTAGTTATTTCCTGTTCCTGATCCAGCAGATGTGTCTTTCTGGGTCTGGTCCCTCTTGCTCCCCATGAAGCTTTGTATGAACCCTCACAGCTGTGTGACTTACTAACATACCAGCTGCCTTGTTGTACTGCTTGTTTCTTGGATGATATATTGAATCCCATGGCCTGTCTCATTCCACCATCTTTTTAAGAGTTTTGTTTATTTTTACTTTATGTGTATGAGTGGTTGGCCTGAATGTATGTAAGTGTCCCACATGCATGCTTAGTGCCCACAGAGACCAGAAGAGAGCAATGGATCCCCTGAAACTGGAGTTCAGGACGGGTGTTAGCTCCCATGTGAGTGCTGGGAACCAAACCCCGGTCCTCCGCAAGAGCAGCCAATGCTGTTAACTGCTGAGCCATCTCTCCAGCCCCTCCACCATTTCTTAAACCCAAGAAAAAACTCAGGATGTCAGAACACTTCACATAAAGCCATACCCCTAGCTGAATGTGGTAGGCATGCCTGTAATTCCCATATTCAGGAGGCTGAGACAGGAGGATCACAGTTCAATGCTCCATAGCAAGACTCTTTCTCAAAACAGCAACAGTAGTAACAAAACAGCCCTAGTTAACAGTAACAAAAAAGTTCATACCCTGCCAGGCATGGTGGCCCACCCCTTTGATCCCAGCACTTGGGAGGCAGAGGGACATAGATTTCTGTGAGTTCAAGGCCAGCCTGGTCTACATAGTGAGTTCCAGGCCAACCCCACTACAGGGAGACCCTGTCTCAAAAAGACCAGAGAGAGCAAGAGAGCAAGAGAATGAGAGAGCAAGAGAGCGAGTGAGAGAGAGAGAGAGAGAGAGAGAGAGAAACAAGACTACATACCTGCCAGTCTCTGTCCTGGGAGTCCATTGTTGCTTCTGTTGGAAACTTCTTTTGCCATCCTGTAGAAAATACAAAGCAGACAACAATATGCACATCTCAGTTTTGACCTCCCCCAACCTTGCCCATTCTAGTAAGGTATACACAAACCAACACTACAAAGCACACCTGCCATTTGCAATCCCAGACAAGGGACTGAAATGTGGCTCCATGATAAAGCATGTTTTTAGCATGTATGAGGCCCTGAGTTTAGTCCTCAGCACCAGAAAACAGGAAATAATAATAATCAAGGCAGTCTCAGAACAGTCATATAGAGGGAATAACGTTAAATGTATATACACAGCATTGCCCTGATATCTTGGCACACATCTGGATCTTAAACAGTCACTTGCAGAATGCTCTGTGCTTCTATCTCATCACACGCATGTGTACACATCACAGAAACATGCACATACATACACACAGGCACACACAGATACATACAAACACACACAGATACATAAACACACATACGGACACACAGACACACATATAAACATGCATACATACATATACACATATACATACTATACTCACACACAGAGGCCATCCTGTGAATCCTCTGGCTCTTGTTTCCTGAGATCATATTGCTTTTGTCTGCCTGTCAGTCTGCCCTGCGGAAACAGGTCCTTTTCTGCTCTGGATTCACAGCAGCAGATATAGCACATGGCTTCATCACCAAGCTTCATTCACACTCTCTGCTGGAAGCAGCTGCCCATCACCGACCTCTCCTCCTCTCTAGGCCATGTGGCTATTTCCTCAGATTCTTCAGCCAGAACCATGGGTTCCTCAGCAACTCCAGTCCCTGGGGAATCCCCATTTCACTCAGCCAACAGTGCATTCATCCTGGAAGCACAGTTGGCCCCTCGTTGCCCTGTTGTTGTCTTTACTGTAGCACCACTGTTGGTCTTCTAGCCCCATATCGTGGTTTGCACATTCTGAAAACCAGAATCCCATCAATTTAGGAGGAGAAGCATGAATGCAAGAAGGCCATGGCCTAGGCCATGGCCTTGTCTGGATAACTAAACAGTGCTTTCACTCTGAGTGAGAACATTTTTGTTATTCCTTCCTTCACATGGAACCTTGACCCTCTCATGAGATCAGACAATTAGTACACTAAAAATGCCATCCTCAGATTAAGGGTGATGGGGCACACTCTTTAATCCCAGTGCTGGGGAGGTGACAATAGAATGACCCCTGATGTTTGCTGGCAAGCCAGTCTAGCTAAATTGATTAGCTCCAGGTTCAATGAGCCCCTGCCTCAAAAAAGAAGTTTGAGAGAGATTGAGAAAAACATCTAAGGTTGTCCTCTAACCTACGCACAAAGAGAGAGACAGAGACAGAAAGACAGAGACAGAGAGTCATCAGCAGCTGATGCAGGCAGTACTAATGCTGGATGTTTATAACTCTGAGATACCAGAACTAAATGTACCCCAGACACCTCCTCATTTGATATATATTCCCTATCATCACCTTTGGTAAACACCTTTTCAGTGGAGGAAAACCCTCCCATTTGAATGTGTTGGGGCACCGGGACTCAAACTGTGAAACTGACAGAATCATGGCCCTGAGCATAATTACATCCCAAGCTGCCCTGAGTCATTTACCCTGGGACATCTGAGTTTCCTTCTTCTCTTGATCTAATCATCTACAGCAGGAATCTATCCCACCAATCTGACAGGCATGCATCTATGCTATGATTGCCTTCTCATTAAAATCCATTTTCTAAACAAGTTTCTGCCTCCATACAGTATAGTTAAATGTTTTGCATTTTCCAACATTCAGATGCGTACAAATGGGAAAGAAGAAATCATGTGTTAGGAAACACATTTTGCCTCATATCTGACATAGCAGTGTGAGGAAATACTGTGGCTTTTGTACTGAGGAACCAAGAATACCGTCAGCAAATAAAGGTGTTAACAGCCACCCTGGATGCTGGTTCCATGACAGCCAGACTGCCTGGCTTCCATTAACATGAGCGGAGTCCTGAGACTCCACATCCAGAATTAATGACCTGGATCCTAGTCCTGCCCTTCTCCTAGCCCAACCTCCTTCACCAGTTCTGGAGTACTAGAGAACTTGGTTGAAATTCCAGGCACACTGCTTCTTCATTTCCTAGGGGAGGAGGAAAGTTACTAATACTAAAAGAGGTTGGTCAGTGATAGCAATTTAGAGATGATATCCATCTCCCAATGAGTATATATGAATTCAGTAACAGGAGTGTGCTTTGAGACTTTAAACTGCTGAGCAGTTAGTTAGCAAGCAGCTGCCATGTGCGTTTAACAGGCGGGGCCCAACCATCTAAACCCTTACTTGCAGATGGAGGATTGATCTACTGGGTTCAACTTCTGTCAAGGTAAATAAATGGGGACCAGTATTGAGTGACCTTGAAAAACTAATGCCTTTATTTCACTGTACCTCAGTGTGAGATACTCTGATGCCTGGTAAAAGAATAAACTAATTAAAATGACAAAATTGCATTTGAACTCTGGAGACTATAAGGACTTCATAATTGCCTCTTCTAATGTGCTCTGGGATGCATATTCACAACTATTAATGGCTCGTAGGAGGGGAAATTTTGTATTAACAATAAAAACATTTCCAAAAATACACATAATGGAAATGATTACTTCTCTCCTTTTTGAAGAGGCACTTAACCTTTGATCTCTAGCTAAATTACATTACCCAGAGGCAGCTTGCAAGCATCCAGGAACTTGTTTCCCTTTGTATTGTGTTGATAATATGTTAAAATAATTAGTAAATTTTTCAAAGGTTCTCTTAAGGATAGCTTCTTACAGATTTAAAAAAAAGCTAAGAAATCATTAGCAGGAGCAAACACAGTACAAAATACGGACCACCCCTTAGCTTGGTTTTGCTTTTCTATTTACCCTTCGTTCTAGCAAGTTTTATATGAACTAATTCTTCAGTGTCTTTTAAAAATGTTCTATTAATGAGGGCTGGAGAGATAGCTCAGCGGTTAAGAGCACTGACTGCTCTTGCAGAGGACCCAGGTTCGATTCCCAGTGCCCACATGGCACTACGAACGGTCCTTAACTCCAGTTCCAGGGGAATCTGAAGCTCTCTTCTGACCTCCACAGCATTGCACAACATGAGTACACTCACATACATGCAGGAAATACAGTTATACACATAAAATAAAAATAATAAATATTTTAAATGGTCTATAATGAAATTATGAATGACTTTCTTCTTTCTTCTAAGAAAGCCAGTATTTATCTTTATATTGCTGCCATAATAAATGCAAATAGAGATGGATCAATTTAAAAATGTAAAGCAAAAGCTTACTGGCCAGAAGTCATGTTCATGTAACCCAGCTCATGTTTTGTCAAGCGAACTCATCAAGTGTAAAAATCTGACCTGCGACAACAGCAAATTCTCTGGATCAGAGATGGTCTCTCGGGGCTGGAGAGATGACTCAGTGGTTAAGAGCACTGGCTGCTCTTGCAGAGGACCCAACTTTGGTTCCCAGCACCCACATAGAGACTAACAACCATTCCAGTTCCAGGACATCCCACACCCTCTACTGACCTCCACGGGCATTGCGCGACACGGGTGCACTTATATATACAAGCAAGCAATACACTCATAAACATAAAATAAAAAAGAAATTAAAACAGTTTAAAAGAGAGAGGCTCTCTTTAATCGTCTTCTGTTCTTGTAATGGAATACACAAACTGATCATTTCTAAGCATGGCTTATGGCTCAGGAAAGAGAGACCACATCTAGAAACAGCCCTGCTGTGTACCATATAACACGGCAGAAGGCACCACATAGAGAATAAGTGCATGAGAGACACCAAACTCTTCCTTCATAAGGATGTCACCTCCATAGTACCCAAGCCTTAGTCTACACATGGGAGCAGAGCCTGTAAAGGTGCCACTTGTTGGTGCTTGCATTAAGTTCCTAACACATGAACCTTTGGAAATACATCCAAATCATAGCAAGGAGCTTTGAATGTTGTTGCTACTCGGGACCCGCACATGTGCCTTTACCTAGGCCCAAACCTGACGTGTGGCATGCCAATATTGTGCTGTTTTCTGAAGTCATGCTTTCTCCTTCTTCATAGCGTTGAACGCGGTCTATCCTGAGCTCCCCTGAACCATGCATCTTGATCTCAGTAAACAGTATGGGATGTGAGCCCAATCCTGACGTCAGTGGTAGTGGGAAAACCCTATTAGAAATCTTAAAGGGAAAAATGAAAACAGAAAAGAATAGACAATTAGGTCAGGTGTGGTGGTGTGTGTCTGTAATCCCAGCACTTAGAAGGCAGAGGCAGGAGGCTTGCCTTAGGTTCAGGGCCGGCAAAAGCTGCACAATGAGACTCAGCCTCAAAAACAAAAATAAACAATTGAAAAAGGGCAGACGTTATAAAGCAATGGAAAGAAACACTGAAGGAAGGGCTGGAGAGACGATGCGGTAGTGAAGAACACTAGTTGCTCTTAGAGAGGACCCAAGTTCGAGTCCCAGCACCCGCATGGCAGCTAACAACCATCTATAACTCCAGTTCCAGGGGATCCTATGCCCTCTTCTGACATCCTCAATTGTTGCACAACATGGGTACACTTACATATATGCAGGCAACACTCATACACATAAAATTAAAAAATATAAATAATAAATAAAATAATGTTTAAGAAATACTAGAGGAATAAGTAGGAAAAGACAATCAATTGCTTCTTTTCCTCATTCCCTTCTCTGTCTTGGCCTGTACCTCCTCTGGGTACCTGAACCACTGCATTGACCCAGCAGGCTATTCAAAGGCCCTGGGCACTTGAGAACCTATAACCCAAAGTCATCTTGGGATCCTCAGAGGTTTTCCCAAGAGCTAACTCAAAACCAAAGTAAATGTTTCCTCCTTTGGTATCCTTCACCCAAATCTGAGCCCAGCCCTCGGCCTTCCATAGTCCTACTAGAATTTAAAAGTTCTCTTAGCGTTCAAAATAATGTTTAGGAATTTCACATATACACTTCCGAAAAAATAGAAAGGGAGGCAAAGCTTGGCATTTCTTAAACTATGTCCCAGGATTTCATGAGCTGTTCTAGAAAAAAAAATTTAAGAACAATAACAAATCTCACCAGAGTTCCATGTTGTAAATCTCTTAGGAAGTTACAGTGCTTATTACTCTACTGAAAACTCTAAGAAGTCCTATAATAAAGAAACCTCTTTTTTTTTTTTTTCTTTTTTTTTTTTTTGGTCTTTTTGAGACAGGGTCTCCCTGTAGCCCCAGCTGTCCTGGAACTCACTATGTAGACCAGGCTGGCCTTGAACTCACAGAGATCCGCCTGCCTCTGCCTCCCGAGTGCTGGGATTAAAGGCATGCACCACCACACCCAGCCCACCTCCATCTCCACCTCTTTTATTTCTTCCAGAATTTTCCAAATTGTTTTAGCCACAATACCGTTTTTGCTTTTATTTTGTTTTGTTTCCCCTCAAGACAAGACATTCTTTTCATATCTCAGAACTGAGTCTTCCAAGACCAAAAAAAAAAAATGGGCGGGGGGGGATACTTGAACATCCATGCCACCACAGTGGCCTGGGTGCTTTGTGTGGATTCTCAACTTGCACACTTGAAAGTATACCTTTCTATCCATCACTCCTGCTTTGTTTTGCTGAGGTGGTAGCAATTCTCAGAATAAGTCAGCTTTCCATTAATCATAATATTTAGAGGAAGAAAAAGATAGGCCTGCTTTAAAGGACACATGATATGTGTTGCCTGATAGACACAAGGACAAAGATTATTTTTCAGATGTGAGTGCCACTAAAACGAGGGCAGCCTGACCTGGTGCTGGGAAATCTAAAATTACGCTCTGAACTCCATCAACAGTCAAACAAGAAGAAAGTCACTAGGTTTTTTAACCTTGCTGATCTAACCTATGAAAAGGCTTTTTGTTCA